GTCATGTTACCACATTTGGAGTGTGAGCCAGATCCAGAGAAAGTTGTGGTCCTCAGATTCCATGAAGGATAGTGTACTGTTGTAAAACATGGAAATGGAGACAGTATGATTTATGGTTTCCTTATAGTTCTTACAAGGGAAAGCTAAACATGTGAGGCTTTTTAGTTTGGGGAGGGGGTAGAGAACACTAGTGGAATATGATAGTGCTCAAAAAAATTATGCTTGGTGATTCATTGCAGAGGAAGTGGATAGATAGATTTTTTTTTCTTCCAGACCAACAAAAAGACCTAATGCAGTGTATATTTAACTTAACAGAATATCCTATCCAAAGATGATAGCCACCAGCCTCAAAGTAGTTTAAGCAAATTAACAGAAAAACAGTCTCTTGCTGATTTTTAGCAGAGATAAGTTATTTGATAACTTCTCATTTCTCATTTAAAGGTTTTACAGTAAACTTGGAATGGGCAACCTGTAACACTCAGCCTAATTTTATGCAGATGAATGTCAGAGTTGTTCAGAAGAAAAGGAAGGAGGATTTGAGGGAGAGCTGTAATTTATCACTGACAAAAGCAGGAAGAAAACCAACAGGGAAGGGAAGGAGGGAAGATCCTCTGCAACTGATGAATCCAACTTTATGATAAGAATGATCTGGCCTTTTAGCTGCTGGGTACAGTGGAGGATCTCAAAAAGGATATCATGGAGTTAGAAAAGGGGCAGAGAAGGACACCCAAAACAATCAAGAGGTTAGAATAACTCTTCTGTCATGAAAGGTTGCAAGATTTGGGGCTTCAAAAAAAGAGGAGACAAGAACATCATAAAGATTTCTAAAGTTACACATTGTCTTAAGAAAGTTGATGGGGAACAGTTTTCTGTCTTTCATAGTGCTAGGACCTGGAAAAAGTGGGAAATTCAGGATGGATAAAGGAAATAATTCTTCATATAGCACATGGTCAGATTGTGCTGCTTGTTATCATAAGGTATAGTGATGGCTATCAACTTCAATGACTTTAAATGGGACTAGAAAAAATGAAGGATAATGCTATCAACAGCTGTTAGTCATGATAATTACTGTATGTTTCTCACATATCAGGATAATATGACCTAAATACCAGTTGCCATGCACACAAATAGCAGAGTGATGCTATGCTCATTTGCTGCCTAGGAATACAGTGGTTGACCACTGTGGGAACAGAATGATGGACTGGATTTCTGATTTTTCTTTTAATAATCTTAATAGAAAAGCATGAAAAATACATATTAAAGCCTATTAATAATAAAACAATCTTACTGAAGTGAGTAGAGAAATTCTATGGAGGAAGAATTAAGGGCTTCCTCAACCTTCCAGTTTACACTGGGTAGGACAGAAAGAGAGAAGGCAATTCCTTCTCCCACATTCCCTCTTTTAAAAAGCTTCCCTTCTAATAATACTTGTGGGGGAAAAATAACTGCTTCTGTTAGATGTAGGTGCTGTATCAGGAGAACTACAGAGTTTTGGAATGCATGGGTTCAAAGTCTCCACCATCTGTCCCTTGTAGATCTCCAAAATGCCCCCCCTTCCCTAAATACTAAACCAGTAAGCTTTCTTAGGAACTCCTCGAGTGTGATCG